TGTGGTTTCTTTAGTCACTTTATTTTCACTTTTCCATAGTTCTTGATAAATTTCTGTAGATACTCATTGCTCCTCATACGTTTTTCTAGCGTCGACTAGTTCTGTTTCCAATTTATTGATAGTACATATCATTTCGGTTCTGTTAAATAGCGTTTTATTAAGTGCCTTCTTGTACCTAATTAGACAAAGCCGTTAAAATTTAGATAAACACCATTCCATATATCTTTTTGACAAACTAAGCGTTGTATTGTACCATCCTCACCCCATTATATGGCTATATCGAGAAACTTGAAATTTTCATTAATTTGATTTCTTATCGTCAACTAAATATTTTTATGATCGTCTATGAAAAGATCTATTGTTGATCATTACATATAATCTGCACAGGGTACTTATATGACAATCAAGACTGATCAAATTTCAGTTAAAATATCAACAACCGAATGATCCAATCCATTTCGAATTGAATTATAACATAGATTGTTTGAAATAACAAAGCTTAATCCAGAAACTAAAAAAAGCGATGTGTCGTGACTTAATTACTTAAATCATTTAAAGTCTTAGTAATAAGGTAAACAATAAAACAACAGACATAACAAGTTTATGAAAATTCCCATTTCAACATTTGGTAAATAAAGAAGGAACGAATCGAGCAAATTTATGAAATCATAATTATCCTTTTCTGATCGACAAACATAAGTTGAGTTAAAAGTAATAAAATTTTTCCTATAAGCTATTTAAAGGTAACAGTCTTCTAATTTTACGTATATAACCAAAAGATGTCAGATCCCGAAATAAGTTGCGGTAAATATTGATCTTTTATAGTTAAGTTCTGGTAGGTACGAAATCATAACAATGGAATTTAGTCATCATTAAAATGTTTGTTGGTTGAAGTAAGTAGAATGGTAACTAAGTTGCCTTCATTTCCACAAATATAGGACCCCTGTTTCATCCTTTTTGAGACTAGCCAGTTGTATTTGTGTTTCAGTGAATCCTGTTGTTTCATCTGATGTCTGAACCCAGCATTCATTGTATCAAATTAGAATTACATAATAAAAAGACATGTTACGTTGTAGTTGAGTCTTATAAGTATTTGTATCCATACAATATAGTACATATTAATAAGCGATTACAAGTGATTATGCCATTGAATAGAATAGTTTGACTACCCTACTGATACACTGACTCCTATTCATTGGGTTCATTGTATACTGATTATGTTATAGGCAAACTTAGTTTAAGGATATTTTTACTGCCGTAACAAAAGTTTTTACCTTAAACATACAAAAAGCTATTATTTCCACAAAACTTCATTTCCATAAACAAATTTTAACAAGCCCACTTTTAAATTTTATAGTTAACATAACGGAATTTTCTTAGTGAAACAAATGTTGAAAATCAGGGGGCGGTGAACAATTTTTTTATTCAAGTTTGAGGCTCATCAGCATTGTTCATCCGCAACCTTAACGAATATCAAACTCCAGAACCTTTAGGTCGCTCGGCAAACGCTCAAACGTTAGACCACAAAGCTAACATTCAGTGGTTTACTTGCTTAACTTCAATTAACTTGCGATATAGTACAAATTTATTTCAATGTCATTAGTGTATAATTACATCACATTCAACATGGTCGAACTCCACTAGTTGAGGATTCTCATCAAAAATCTTTTAAGCGTTGACTGTTTTGGTTAATCCCCGATTAATGATAATTTTCACTCATGTTCTTACATATGTTTTATCCAGATGACTGCATAATTAACCATTGTAAACCATTATTATAAGTTATTATCTACGATAAAAATAGGCTGTTAGATCAACTCTCTCTTAATCAGCATCATAAAACGATTACCTAACTGAGATTAGTGGTATTTTCTTAATTTAAATATGAATGCTAAGCGTTTTAGGTATTATTTACATAAGAATTAGTTCTTAAAAAGCGAGAGGTTGAAATTATTTTTAAACATCACTTGTACAATTAATTACGCGTAATCATATCAGTCACCATTTGGTATGAAATAATGGAGAGAAGTACATTTTACTTCATTTACATAATGTTATTGATAATAAAAGTTTGGATAAGAATGAGAAAACCTAGGAATGATCCGATTGATTTTATAAAATATAGCTAACTAACACAGAGATAGAAGGCGGCAAACTATGCACTAAAATACAATGCATTTATATAACTCTTGAATTTGTTCCAATTCTGAAGCCTAGTCACAGACATTAAGAGGATACAAATATTTGAATAATCTAGAAGAATCCATGAAAGTCTATTCATTTACTGTACATCACTGAAGGAAATCTATCACAAAACAAACTAATATGGTATATCAGTATGGAGCCTTTAAGATTGATTAATTTTATTGAGATCCCGAAACGATCTAAGTTAAACAACCACTGAAACCTAAAACGCACTAGATGACCGTTTTTTATTGGTATGGGACTGTTCAATGGCGTGGAATCCACATTCCCGCCATTGGGGACCGAACTCAAAATCGGTCTCGCGAGTGGATGTTTTAATTCTAGACCACTGAACTGGGATTCATTTATGCACAATATGAATTATGCTTGATATAACCTTCATCACTGGTTGATGATTAGTTAGAGAATGATTGAAATTAGGGAAGCATTTGATTATTGTACCATCGTAGTTTGAGTTCTTATCAATGTGAGAACTTATGAACATCCGCAGAATCTAAACGAAGACCTTTAGATATCGTAATTAACACATCTTTAAACAAATGAGTTGGAATTTGATATTTCATAATTTAATTTTTAATCAGTCATTGCTTCATTATCGCTCAAATCCAGTGTTACAAATGAGCTACCCTCCCAATTCCGACTTGACAGGCATTAAAGTTTAGGCCTTATGTAAATGCATTGTGAAGTCATTTATTACTAAATATATGATACATAACAATATCGGCGGTTTCACGTGAAACTTCGATATACTTTTAGTTACTACATACTATCATCTTTAAATACTTTAGACAAAATGATCATTAATTGTTTTGCAACAAATAAATCCATCACTAGTACATGACTGAATCGTAAATGGCTAGTATTCAAAATTTATAAGCCTAATTTAACTCGGTTGTTATCTTAAAAACGATATGTTTTTTCCTTTTGTTTCTTACTCTCTTGATCGGTCTGTTAATTACAGCCGATCCATCGAGTCCGTTCATTAACTAATTCACCTATTGTATATAGAATCGATGATTTTCTTTCAACCAATCACTCAATAAAGGTGATATGTGTTAATGAAACTAAAATATGATTGGACGTTGAACATGGACAACCAGGCAGTTAGCCTACTGACTATTCAAGATCTAATTTCCTTCCTTGTTATTGATTTCTATTCCGGACACACTGAGAGTGACTGCTTGTAGCTGTATTGAACAAAGTATTATCTAGTGTTAATCCGATTTTCTATTCTGGATCGTGAATCCTGGATCTAATATAACATGACGGTGAGACCATAATTTATGGACTACCTTGGAGCGATGCTAAGGTGACCTAGAGAGTGTCCAACTAATAACTAGAATCAAATGAGCGTTATAAACCAGTTTGAGTAATTAGAAATTAGATTTAGGGTTTTCATCACTAACTGAGGTTGACAATAGTTACACGGCGGTTGTGATTCAACATGAATGACTAACTCATAAGTGTCACAAAATCGGATCAATAAGGGAATAATTAATTCGTGTTAATCCCGGAAGTATAAAGTATATAACAACAGTTTGTGCGTCAGACATGAGTTTAAAATTAGGTTAAAATAAAAATACAATTTCATTACTTAATGATTATGAAATAAAAGTACAAATAATGATTTTCCATAGGATTTCAATACCAATGCTTGACTAGATAGCTCCAAATAAATTGAGCATTGGGTAGAAGGATAATAATAAATAGTTCTTTTTAGTGATATCCTAATTAGTAGACACTTGTATTTCTGACGTTTTGTGAATGCTATTTAGAGTTGTGTTGTTTTTGTTCCAGTTATTTACTTATTTACCCTGACGAAGTGACTTACATTAAGTCACTAAACGTCGAAAACACAAATATCTACTCATTAGGCTATCACAAAAGGTACTTTTATTTATTATATCTCTAGGATAGATCTGAATACCATTATCTTAAATAATTAACAGCATTTACTTTACGATAGAAACAAAATTGCACCTAAACAATCGGGATTCAAACTTTGTCCAGTAAATCATGAATTTGAACCCACTTCAAACTAAAAAAACTTAGCCTTATAACCTAGTAAGTGTAGTGTCTGTCATTATGTTAAGCTCATATACATTACTCAAGCTTTCAGACAGCCCATTCTATTCATTCTACTTGAGTCACATTTTGACCTTGCTAATTGTTCGCTTATCAATCTTGACTGTTTTCAAATGAGCGCGTAGGCGTGTGTACACTTCTTATCCCATTACTCATCACATGTCTGTAACTTATTTTTATGTAACTATAAATATTGATTAACGCTTAACTATAGAGGAGTTGGCTTACCAGCCATCTCCACCGTGCATTTTACTTCGCTTTATTTTCGCATCGTTTCCCCGTTCATTTGTCTGATCAACGATTATACAAAATATATGTATTCAAAGTTCCATTCTTGTTATATGACTTATTTAATTCCGTTATTGACTAACGCGATTTAAGTCAATGATTATATACGATGATAAGCGCATATATATTTCCACAACGATCATTCATACGATCTATTTGGAGTCAGATCTCGGGCCACTAAAATGAAGTACCCTTCGACAACATCGTGCGATCTAAATGACAGCAAAATAATGGGCCTCCACATAAGTACATATATTTGTATGCCTGTTTTATATATTTAAATATAAGAAAAGTCCCTTTTCATCTAATATACAAATGAACAAATACATTGAAGTAAACATCTTATAAACACTAACTTATTTATTTTACAATCCTTTCCATATAAATAATTGATCAATTAATAAACTATTATTAATTTATAGGCTATGAATTTATTAAATAACTTAGGAAAATGTAAACATGAAAAAAGTCATCCATATCTTGCTCATCATGAGCATCAACCTAACGATGTACAATATGAAAATAATAAAATGAAATCAAGTCCTTTAGAAAAGTGGATATGGGAAAATGGATGTAAAACTTTACAAAATTTTCATCTTAAATCTGATATTCTCAGTTTTAAATCATCATCATTATCGATTCATTCAAATTGTCCAACACTTGAACTTGATTTAAATTTGGCTAAACATTTAACAGAAGTTGATTTACTTTCTCAAGTAAGTACATTTATAATATTCATTTGTATATATTTTATAAGTTATGATGGTGAAACTATAATTTATGGACGAACCAATCAGACATAGGATAACAGGTCTCATATTTTGGCGCATAATTCACTCAATCATTTGACTAAATAGAGTCTTGGTATTATAATTGATGTTAGTTCGTGATGAAAACCCTAAATCTAATTCCTAACCTTAACCATCAACTGTAAATCATAATTCGAATTCTTCACATTAATTTATGACTATCATTTGGTCCTAGTTATCAGGTGAACATTCTCAAGGTCAGTCTAGCCTTGCTCAAAGGTCGTCCATAAATAATAGTTTCTTTAATATTTATATTCAAATTTGTTAACTTTTTTATATTCTTTAATTATTAAAAAGTATTTTTACAAAATAAGTTACGTGTTCCTTTCGATGTACTGTATACTAATTCATTATTCTAAAGATAATGAGTTTGACATGAGATTTGGAGGTCTTTTGTTTGAACCCTGATAAAAGCAAATAAGAACTTTCGTCTAAATTTGAACGAATAGTTTCACAATATTTGGGCGCCGAGTTAATGTGAGACATTAAAGAGAAAAAATGTATTTGTAAAATCTCAGCGAATGAATTTTAAGTAAATCCAACGTTTCGCCTGGCAATCTGGTCCAAGCTTTTTCAAGGAAAATATAATCAAACAACAAAATTATCGATAATTTTGTTGTTTGATTATATTTTCCTTGAAAAAGCTTGGACCAGATTGCCAGGCGAAACGTTGGATTTACTTAAAATTCATTCGCTGAGATTTTACAAATACATTTTTTCTCTTTAATGCCTGATAAAAGCATTTATGTGATCTAGGATGATACAACTGTTCAGTGCTCCATAGTCTTCAAAATTATCCACTGGTTGTAACTGATGTATGCTGAAAATCTACTCAAAAAGGTATTTTTTTAATTTAGGAGTGATGTTGAAACTGATCCCAATATCAAACAGATTCATTAAGCGTTGACTTGGTTGTTTAAATTTTAGGGTATGATATCCATTCAGTTTAGGAATCGTATGAACACTAGTCCGCATGCACTAAATGCGTAATTTAGAGATGAGGACTAAAACTTCTCTGTAAATGAGTTTCTATACATTTGGTATTCTGTAGGTTGCCAAATTTTATCTCCAGATTATTATACCAAATGATCGCTCGGAGTTGACGCTGATCTGCATGCTTCCTATAGACGAAACCAGCTTAATAATTAGGTGCGGAGACTAAGGTTGAATGGATATCTGTATTGCCAAACCAAGTATAAATACACATACAAACTCATTGGCTTATATATATCACTCATATAGTTGAGGCCAATCTCGACCAATACAGTTCATCCATCAACATATCTCACCTATTATTGGCTTTCATCCAACGTATGCACGTAGGTATATGATGTTTCTAGATTGCCCCATTCTATGACGTATCTTTGAATTACATGGCTTCGTTCAATAGGATCTTTTCTACTAACTTATACGAGTAGTTCTTCACGTGACAGTAATACATTCTAATTTTGACAGTGTTAAGATTTTTGCGTTAAATGGTTAAATTGAGGAGCTTCATCTTCGTTCCAGAACCCATTATGAGCTCCTGAATTATTTAGGTGCTTAAGAAAAATGAAGCCGCCAAAGTATTCACTTAAGCTGCGGATCTCTAACACTTATTTCCACTTGTTAATAAAAGAATTAAATGAGCCCATTACTGACCTTCAGCCATTGATCTTAGATATAGTACAACATTATACCGATTTTCGTCAAATATATTAGTGAATAATTCTTTCAGAAGAGTTCTACAATCATTCTAGATACTTATATTTTACATTGAAATTGTTTCAAATGGTAGCGTTGCCTTTCATCATGCATAATGACGAATTTAAAGTATTCCGTGAAACCAATGACCCTTCTCTTAGCAATCTTTTTTTTTTCAACTCTAATGTAAAACGATGGAACAATGTATCATTTCTATTAACATCATTTTTTTCTCTCCCCCTCCCTTTCTCTCTCTCTTTTCTTTTATATAAACATCAAACAATCCTATTCTAGGCAAATGTTTTACAACAAATGATACATGTATATTCATATGAAATGTTAACAAATCGATTAGCAAAAAATTTATTACGTATACATGGAATATGGTTTGAATTATACTCAGGTAGAGTACTATTTTATAGTCGATTTAATAAAGCATTTGTACCTATTACTGAAGAGACAATCACTTCATTACTTAATGAATTATAATGTAATTTCTTTATATATTCAGTTCATTTTTATTTATTTGCTTCTTTATTCTATCGTATCTATCTCTTAAAAGGTTTTTATACTATTGTATTTATTAAGATACCTCTTTGTTGCCGTTGTTGTTGTTGAAAGACTAATTTATCTTTCCATTCATTTTCTTTTTCTGATTATTATTCATTTGGATGAATGGATGTATATTTTCAACTTGGCATAGAATATCATTTTCAAAGATATTTATGGAAAATCTAGTCTATTTCCAAATGTACATTGAAATCTTGAACTATAACAATGGTGATTAAACAGCTAGCTGACTCAGGGTATAGAATATTTCATTGATTTATCTTTATTCTATATTATTTTTTTCGAAACAATCTTCATTATTGAATGAAATTGAATCTCTATGTGAAATGGTTTTAATAAATTTTATTTTCCCTATTTGAATTTATTAAATGGAACTAATTATTTGGAAACTTAAAATGTTTATCTTCAATTCAATTATTCCAAATAGTGTTTTTTTAATTAATGAATAATGTTTTATTGAAAGATTATTTAAAACACAATTAATATGAATGAAAAATATTCTTTTCAATGAATCTCTTATCAAGTTCTACAATTATCTCATATCCAAATTACTTGCTTGCTTACTTACTTACTTAAGCCTGTTACTCCCAATAGAGCATAGGCCACCGACCAGCATTCTCCAACCCACTCTCTGTCCTGGGCCTTCGTTTCTAGTTCGATCCAATTCTTGTTCATTCTTCTCATATCTGTCTTCATTTCTCGGTGTAATGTGTTCTTTGGTCTTCCTCTCCTCCGTTGACCTTGAGGATTCAATGTGAGGTCTTGCCTTGTGACGTAGTTAGGTGCTTTCCTCAATGTGTGTCCTATCCACTTGCAGTTCTTCTTCCTGATTTCTTCCTCTGCTAGAATCTGATTTGTTATCTCCCATAGTAGGTTGTTGCAGATAGTGTCTGGCCAACAGATCCGAAGTATTTTTCGTAGACAACTGTTAATAAACACATGTATCTTCTGAATGATGTCTTTCTTAGTTCTCCAGGTTTCCGCCCCATACAGTAGAACTGTCTTGACATTTGTATTGAAAATTCTGACCTTGGTGTTGGTTGACAGACAGTTGTTTTGAGTTCCAGATGTTCTTCAATTGTAGATATGCTGCTCTTGCTTTGCCGATCCGCCCCTTCACATCTGCATTAGATCCACCGTGTTCATCAATGATGCTGTTTAAATATGTAAAGGTTTTTACATCTTCCAAATCTCCGTCAAGTGTGATTAAATTGGTGAATGCTGTGTTGTATCAAAATTAATAAACCATAAAATTGACCAGATTTAAGGCAGAATACATCATTTGGAAATTGTAATATGTGAATCAAAAATTGTTTGTCCAACTAAATCGTCAATATTGGGGTTGACTAATATGAAGTGTTAACTTGAATCAGTTTATATGTGAAATGAAAACCTGGTGATCTAACATCAATCAATTCATGATCTCAGTCAAAAATTTAATAATCTCCACAACACCTATACTGATATACCGATAAATAATGATCAGAATAAATATGGTCAACATGGTGTGAGAGACAGAATAATATAATTACAAATCAGAAATTACGTAGTATGTAGGTCAGATATAGTAGATTTAGGGGTGGATACTGAATAAATTTCTCAAAAAGCTTATCAAGCGTAATAATAATAATAATAACAATGATGAAGACTATTTAGCTGATTTTTCAAATTGTTATGTGATATAGACTTTCATTTTTTTTCTTAATTTTCTTCAAAATAAAAACAATGTAATAGATTGTATTAAAGAAAAGACTTTTTTCACTATTAAGGTAGTAATAATAATGATACTTCAATATTCTGTGCAAAACATTTATATTTATCTATGATTAAATGGTGTTCATCTGTATTAGAAGGGGTTTGGGGGAGATTTTAGAAATTTCACTAATTCAAATCATGAGTCAATTGAAGCTAGACCACTATGGAAAACCTGGAAGCACTGGATGGCCATTTCGTCCTAGTATGGGACTCCCCGTTTGTATTTTAAATGTATATTGTAAATTAAGTTCTTACAATGAATTTGAATTGTTTAATTTATTTTATTGTATTTGAATGAAATAAGTCTATTTGTAACAGAAAAAGCTTTAGATTTTTGATATGACTTCTCAATTGTTTCCAAAATCCCCTTCACCACTGATATGTTTTGTCGATTGAACGCTACTTGTGATATCTGGTCGTTAATGATTATTGTGTAAGAAACGCTTATCACTTATACTCGAAACGAGGGACCTTTGCAATTCCCATGACGCGAAAGTAAGAACACAAAGACTGGTATAAGCGAAGATTTATTAACCCCAAAAACCGACGTTGATGACGACGACACTTGTCAAAAATACACTCATTTATATATTGATTCGTACACCCATTTTAATTAATAATTAGGATGAAATCATATATATGAAAAAGTACTTACAGTTATAACAAATCACATACTGAGTATAATTCATTTCCACTGAATACAAGAATATTGTATGTAATTTCATTTGTTGAGATCATGAGCCAAATGAAGCTAGACCAACAGGAAAAACCTGAGAGCACTGAACGGCCGTTTCGTCCTATTGTGGGACCCCTCAGCAGTGCGCATCCACAACCCCGCCCCGCGGGATTCGAACCCAGGACCTACTGGTCTGGCGCACGAGCACTTAACCACTAGAACACTGAGCAGGCATTCAACGGTCCAAATGTCTAACTTCAACTAATCCACAAAATTGAACGACGCGTCCACCATTGTCTTCAGTGAGTTACTATCTCACAACTGACCCGGTTGAACCCCACCGGTCACTGCTTCTCACTAGAACCCCAGAATATATAAAAAATATAAAATATCGTACGGGAAAGCAAAACCAAATATTACACTGAATAATCATCACATTGAATCAAAACAGAAGTAATGTTGAATAAAACTTATAATAATTAAATCAATCGAATTTTGATTTTTCTTCCCATCATGTCCATCTTATTTATGAAGGTTGAATTTTCCCGTTGTTATAGTACACAAGGCTGCAATTAAGCGGACTCTGTTACCATTTGTGCATTCTAAGCGGATTGTCTCGAATAGCATTTAGTCTCAAAGTTTTATTAATGTTAATTAGTGGTTAAGAATGGAATTTAGAATATATATTATTTTTTCAATTTGCAAACACACATAACCGTTACAGATAAAATTCATATCATTTCAACAAGCTACTGGCTAGTTGAACTCAATAGTTCAATGAATAATGCGTTGGTATTTGGACATGAACACTCGGATGTAGGTACACCTAATCGATAAGTTACAAATAGGATTAAATCCACATTTTGGACTTCATTGCCAGTCACTATCTAATGAAGTCGTACAACTAAATGACAAAATCAAAGTAGTCCACAGTTAGGGAATTCGAGAGTGTTCATCGCTTGAAGAACTTTCAAATAACTATGAAAGGATAGAGATTCATATTTTTAAGGTGTTAATGACGTTGTAATAGTCATCAAATTGTATGTTTCATTAAAATTTATAATTTGACCAAGTGAATGAGCAAGAACATAATAGATTGATTTCATAAGAACAGTGATAGGAATATAGTTTTAAAAAATTTACATGTTTAGTTATTCCGTACACTTGATGTTTATGTGTGTGTTAACCCAAAGTTAATAGAATTACAGTTAGTTGATACAAACAAAATGGTAGATACAACTTTTCTTGTTTTTATATTATGTTTATGCAGTGAGTAGAATTTTATAAAATAACAATGGGAAAGAACAGAGTAAATGAAAAGCATACATCACTCAACAACTTAAAGAACTTAATTTGTGTCTTAAGTAAATAGTTTAAAAGAAATACGCTCACCAAACCATTTTACATTAGCTAATTTACATGGGGGTGTTTTTGAGTCTTATTTTCAAATATAAACTTTAACTGCATTCTATCATTGTAATTAGTTTGGTCTGATATCATAGAGAAAAGAATGCCTAACAATATGGAATAATTTTTTGAAAGTAATTTAATACCTCCTCTGACAATTTAATTTGTTCATTTTTGGTAAAAATCAAAATATTTTACTTGCATAGACACACGTTTCGTCTTAGTGTTGGACTCCTCAGAAGTGAACACCTATGACTGTTTTAGGAATAGAATAGGTGTTTAATCCTTAAACGATTGACCCAAAATTCGCTAGTTTATATATTTAGGTTCAACCGGTTTGCGATATTGCGCTACTATGATTTAATGCCACAACATACAAACTACTGGAAGGAATCTCATTGGTTTAACCAACTAAGTGTTTGTCTCGAGACATGTTCGATCTTTGGTGATGTGACGAGGGCAGACTGTTGAGGGGTCCCGTACATGAACGGGAAAGACCAGTATATGATGCAAACTATGGCATTCAATAATCACCACAAACCCCCATATATTAACAAACACTAGTGTTTTATTAGAACATTTCACTGCGTATTACATAATTAATATTATTTTTATATAAGCGTCATGAGTATAAAAGGAATGATCAACCATTGTTCCGTTAGTATATATCAATTTAAAAGTGATTTATTTTTTACGAAGTTTCTTGAATCCGTTAGATGAATCTGTTTTGAATATAATAAACGAGTGTGTCCAGATTCATTGATAATGAATTAAAGGATCCATATATATGATTTTGAGTCATGTATGTCCAAAGACTGAAATAGAAATCCAATACTTACTGATTTCCAATGTTTATTTAGTTAATTTCAGTCTATAGTGAAAATTATCTCCCAAATAAAACTTGTTTTTATATATCTGAATGCACTATACTACTCACTATTGATCAGTAGAATGAATCATTATGGTTATATACTGATGCAAGTTGAATCATAAACTATCAGCCGATTGCTTTTTGATGCAATTCAGGACACAATTATCCAGAGTGATGAGGTTTTAAACTATTTTCTTTATTATCCTTGTCTCCTCTTACTCTCCATTTCTAGTCTAGTTGATCTAATTTTATATATAAATGTTCTTAACAAGTATATGTGTATGATCAGATTGTTCGAAATGTATTGCGCTAATCGTACCACATAGTTCTGATAATCTTCTCCTTATTACACTATAGAGACAATTAAGTGTTTTTAGAGTTTCTGAAAGTTTAAAATGCATTATATACTGACCGATACAGTAAAATTATTCGCATATATATGATAGGTGCAATCGGGGACAATCTTTTGTACAGATGTTTGAGGGAGTGTATAAATTATAATCACCGAGTCGTTGTTAGCAAGCGTTGTTTCGTCGACCCCATAACTGATTTTCACGTTAATAATGTTGACAGTATGGTGACAATTAAGGAAGATTTTTTGGCCTTGTTTAGTCTCTAAAGGTAAAGGGAACTATAGGATTGGGAAGCTTTTATCGCAACTTCGTTGATTTTAATAACAATAAATCAAACATAAACCTTTATAAATTCAGCGGTCATTTAAAAAATGCATGTGCATTCTAGACTCGTTTCACTGGCATTTTAACTGGATACTGAAGGTCTGTGGAATCACTATTTACATTAGGACTCAGTAATATGAATAATCTTAAGACTATTTATATTTTCAGATGCTTTATCGTGATACCTTCTATTCATCATCAACCAATATTATTAAGTCTAGCCAGTTAAATTTTTTTAAACAGACAGTAGGCTGTGTTGTTCAACATAGCAGTACATCGTATTTAGTAAGTAATATTTAGGTGCAGTTCATCATGAAACAGTTTTTTTTTCAATATTACCTAGACCCCAACACAGTGAGTTTGGTAACCAATAGAATACGTGTTATGATTCTTCCTTTCTTACACATACTCAATCGGTCTGTAGTGATAATACATCAATCAAATTCCTGATTTATCCCTCTCTGAACCGAGTATACTAATCCGTCTTTAAACCAACTACGTCACAAAACCAATGACGCGCCTAGCCTGACACCATCAACCTTGAATAATGGCAAGATATAATCTTAGCCCTAATTGGTTCAGAACGCACACTATTCTGATAGTCAGTCCTTAGTCCAATGGGTGAACACAGAAGACAAGTTTCTATCTGAGCTTACAATTCTCAAGCACTCGTGGGTTTATAAACAAAAATTACGAGATCACAATTAGGAATCATGCTGTATATATCAAGTGGCAGAGAACAAAGCGAAAGGTGCATAATTCACCAGCAATGATCAAGGAATAATAAACCCATTACAGTAGTTAAAATACCCAATGGAAGCTCACAGAGAATATTGTAATGCAACTAAGATTTACAGGAATGTCAGTTTATATGTAGTAAATCGACCAAAGTTCTTCTGCGTGATGTAATTTTATGTTGTAGAGGGAGAGAATTATTAAAGATAACAGCCGGGTGTAGATTGTTTTATTTGATAAGTGCAAACATTTTAAAAACAGAGCGTATCAAAGTCCTCCTATTTGTGCTGACAATGTTAGCTTGAGAGGGTATTGAAGTCGGATCAAATTTAATCTTGATAGATCAATGCTATTCAAACAAATTGAAATACCTCTAATGTGAAGTATTTCTGCCATGAGCCATTCTTTTAATTTTTAAAAAAAATTTTTCTGACTGATTTTGTCAAAGTCAATCATATGACCTGATATTGGATCCCATCGGATTTCTCGTCGAACAACAATTTAACGATGTTCATTTGTACTGACATTGATTTCTTGATAAGCTTGTCTCATAAATAAGGAAGATACAAGAATCTAGAATCTATTAGCAGTTGAAACACCAATTCCATTTCATTCAATTACAGATCTTATCAGGTAAGTAACAAACTTTATTTTCAGAAGGGGTTTTGTGGAGATTGTAGTAATTTCAATGGTTAAGACCACCATGGGAAATCTGGAAACACTGGACGGCCATTTCGTCCTATTGTGGGACTCCTCAGCAGTGTGTATCTACAACCTCGCCCCCTGCGAGATTCGAAACAAGGACTTACTGGTTTCGCGCGCGAGCAGTTAACCACTAGAACACTGAGCCAGCATCCAACGGTGTTAATGTCCAACTTCAACAAATCCACAAAACTGAGCGACACATCCACCATTGTCTTCAGTGAGTTACTATCTCACAACCGACCTGGTCACTGCTTCTCATTAGAACTCCAGGATATACCTCTTGAAGCCAGTCACTAGTGAGCATATGTTGATTAATATCAGAATGTGTTTTGTGGATGCACACTGTTGAGGAGTCCCACAATAGGACGAAACGGCCGTCCAGTGCTTCCAGGTTTTCTATGGTGGTCTAGCTTCAACTGACTTATGATCTTAACCATTGAAACTTTATTTAATCTAAGACTAGAGATCAGTCTATATATCCTAAATTAATTTAACATGATAAGCTGACAATAAAATATCAGTGTAATAGTATTTGCACAATAGAACGAATGAAAATCACTCAACATAAATTAGCCATAGGCAAATCAAAACAGTTAAATATAAATATTTTCATCTAACCAAGTATTAAGATTTCATGAAATGTAATATTGAAAGGATCAAAATGACACAATTGAACCAGAATGAAAATTGGTTAGTATGATATCGTCAAATATTTTCACATAGTAAACTGTTGATCTATCGATTTTAAATACTATTCAGCTCAAACCATATCAATTTGAATGTATTCATATATCAGTTTGATTTAAATCTAGGGTTAAATAAATTCCTTATCACTAGTCTTTGTTTTCTTACTACGTGATATCATATTTACCATTTCACTATCAAACATATATCACTTAAGCATTTCGTAGGTATAACATAATGTAAAAGAAGTTTGAAATCGTCCAATAAAATTCATAGAATTCTTTTAATCTGCAATTACGTGGTGACAAATGTTGTACTCTCTTATTCTGGTAATTAATGAAGTAAAATTATCAGCATCAACTTTGAAAAATGAATTAGAACTTAAGAACAATCTTCAAAGAAAGATAAATACTAGTCGAGACAATAAGATACTGAAACTAACTGATGAAGAGATGACTAGATCCAGTTAAGTATTATTTGTATAAAACCTATGTTCACTTAATTTATCTGCAACAATACAATTGAACTAAGTAAACCGAACTATAAGCTCATGGGATAAAGATCTCAATTGTGTAAAGCAAATCTTCATTATCATTGTCAAAAAAAAATATGAATAGAGAATTTTCTTGGTGTTGTTTTAAAAAATTTCCAATTATCAATAAGGAGGTAATGAAAATTGTTGAAATCACGATCCGATCTAAGCTAGAAAATAATTGAAAAACTAAGTCCTGGATAACTGGTTCATTCTAATATGGGACTCATGAATAGTACAAACCTACGATTCTGAAACTGGAGACCGAACTCAAGACTTTAGGTCTCGCGAAAGGACGCTTAATAATAATTTCACATTTAGAATCAAAACAACTATATTACTTCAATCAAGGTTTAGATTTCATCATATGATAGTAGGCTACACTGGAATATGAAATTGTTTCATCATATTCGCAACTTGTCAGCTGCATCGCTAAGTAAATGTGGTTACATAGATAGACTCAGACTAAAGCCAAGAACCTTGAACATCACAGCATATCTATTGTCTACAAGACTTAGAAGTTATAACAGCAACCAACTTTCCAAACGAGTATGATCTTTGGTAATAAAAATCCTTAAAATCTATAAACTACCTTTCTGTAAAAATTCGATTTAATACTAATCTACTAAAAATAAATCAACCAATTAGATTCTCAAACCAATGATAACCATTAAAAAAACAAGTATAAGTTAGGGAGCCCTCAAATGCAATGGTACGACCAAGTATAGGGGGAGTTCGCTCTCCCCTTTGAAACGCGTATATAGTCACTGTCAGGGAAATCCTACTGACTACAATCTCACAGTGGTGGGGGGCTGTTTACGAAATTTAGTGGACGAAAAGGAATGTCAGGCGCTGAAGCGGTTTAGTGATTACGGAGTATCCATCTAGGAGTTGGAGAACTCTGATTCCTGAAGAATAGTGCATGTGAGATCTATAATCCGGAGGCAATAAAAACGATGTATGAACCTATTTTTGGTCTTTGGCTGCCATGAAATCGCATCTCCTAACGTTGTTCCATTACCTTATGGATTAGATCTTAAGATCAAAGAATCGGAGAGTGGCCTACTAAGAAAAATCTGCTTCGATTTATGTACCCGGACAGTATCCCAACCCATACAGAAAAATGTAATGATTAATTTTGTGTCCCATATATACTGTAATGCCCCTTTCTACCAATGTTTACGTGCTTAATTAGATAAATAGATATTAGTAGAATGGGGATTTGTGAGAATGGCGGATACACATTACTACGGAGTCCCATACTAGGACAAAACGGTTGTTTAGTGCTTCTAGGTTTTCAATGGTGGTCTAGCTTATATCGACTCATGAATTTAACTATTATAATAATTCGACAATTAATTGTATTATATGCACTTATACAGAGATAGAATAAGAATTAAATATTGAATTGGAAATTAAAGTGAAACAAATTTCCAAACAAAAACTTTCGACAGGTAAGTTGAATAATTGTAACATGTTAATATTATCTAAGATCATTATTGCAACTACAATTTGAAGTGGGAGCGAATGACGAAATTGTATACTTACACATAAATAATAATAAAACAATAAAAGACTATTAGGAAACTTTTTTAAAACAAAAACTGAAAAGTAACTATGAAATATATATATATATATATATATATATATATATATATATATATATATATATATATACTTCCCTATGTATAGACAGTTAAATTGGCGCATACAAATTATACACAATAAGGAATGTTATCACTTCAATTGACACTGGAGAACATAATAATGATTTACTTTACTTGTTGATAACAGAAAAGAAAACATAATAGGAATAGTGAAGAATTGATTCGTTTTTAAAGTCCACCGGAACGTTGACCACTTGTATCACCTATTATATGTTTTATATATAAACGATTTAATTGTTCTAAAAAGATAAATGTTAATACTGTGTGAGGTCCAATACGTAGAAAATATGGTGTAAAACCTTTCCATAGTGATAGAATACCTTCATTTCGTATTACTCGTAAAATAACATCCTAGAATAGACGAAAATAACGTTATATAAATAAACAAATAAAGAATTATGTTAAAAGTACAAAACTTGTTTTAATCATTTTTCATAAAGATCATATTGTCAGTTAGTCATAAGCATTATCAGTAGAAGTGGTAGAAAATATATGGTATAGACAATATGATTACAATAATCGCATGAACTCTAACTAGATAGTAGTCTGCAGGTACCAATATAGTTTGCATTAATAGTTAATGACTTCATAGACTAACACTATAACTTGATTTGTTTCATACTTTTTGTTAATAACTCAATGATCCCCAGTAGGAATAGGAAGTAGTGTACTATGGTGGAATAATTTCAAGGCAAGGAAGAAATAACTATCTGTTAATGTCATTTGCTTAAAGATGTTTATATAACATAAATAGAACACGAAATTGAATCGTAAAGAATAATACACATTCATAAAATATCAGAAAACGTTTACAGTTTTGTATACTGAATTATTGGTTAAATCGAATTTTCAAATATTGACATTTCATTTTAGCTTCTTATATCAATCAAAAGTGAAGCGAGGTTTGAACTATTCACGAAATAGTAAAGAGATACTTTATCTGGATACATTCAAGGAAATTATGCTCAATCATTCATCTTCTCATTCATTGTGAGGTTAAGAAAGTAACACTTAACATAAGGCTGGAGGAACACCACAACCGAGCCGGTAATGGGTAATTTCTTTGAGAGTATCTGCAAGATCCTCGTTTAAAATCAACTGATAAAAGTAGGCTTTAGGAAATCAAAAAGAATGACAAAAACCAATTATCGGGGGAAAAACACCGATATTTCATGGATATTGCATGAATCAGTCAATAATATCATTAATGTATAGAAAATCAAAGATCAACTAGACAAATTAGAAGGCAAGAGAAAAATGATAAAGAAAACGCCGTGAAATACACGAAGCTGCTCAATAAGTCAATATTGCCATGGTCTACTTTGACAACATACAGGAAGATAAAAATTGGTATTAAACATGAAAAGAGGGTTTGAAGCTTCGTATCCCCAAGGCCTCAGTAAACTTTAGTTTATGGAACTCTTCAATAATTAACTTGAAAAATCAATTTAAAAGATATGTCTTTACAGGTGGAACGTGGATAGCATTATAATCTTAAAAGACGAAAACCACCTATTGAGGGGATTTAACACATTACTCCATGAGAATAGGATGTGAATAACCAGCCTCCGTTTTCAAACATACTAATTAGTGGGAAAGTGGATGGTTGCATCAAAAATTCGGTATATAGAAAGTATATATGGACAAAGCAATATCTTAGTTTATATAGTCATGTCCTGGCATGGCCGAGAGTGGGGTGGGGCCGCCCTCCCTCTCGAAATACTCTCACACGGCAACGCGTATACAGCCTCTGCCAGGGAAGTCCTACTCACTGCTTACACGTGGCGGGGGGGTTGTTTACGAAAATGAGAGGACGAAAAGCGAACGACCGGCGCTATAACCGGATCCCGATTCTATGGTGCACATGGGCTCCAGTATCCTGAGGGAACAAATGGCGCATGAACCAACTTTTGGTCACCGGCTTCCATGGGACCGCATCTCCTCACGATGCTCCACTGCCTTGTGGACTAGACCCTTGGGTCAAAGGCTCGGGGTGTGGCCCCCTAAGAAAACCACCTGCTTCGGTTTGGGCACCCGGGCAGTATCTCAGCCCACGCACTAAAACCATGATGATGAACAATTTGCTTATGGAAAATATTCCTTTCTATCTGATTAACATTGAAATAACTCGTATTATTATTATTATTACTCTACCACGTCATTTATTCACCCTCTCTTATTCCTACTTTATGTATCCGTTTCGACCTAGACAGCAGCTCACCTATGGTGAAAATTCAGCTTTATCTAAACGTACTCGAGTCACTGCCTGGTTGAAAATTGTATGTTACCACCGAATATGAATACTGAAGCAGTTTTTCTGAAACCACGTACACCATTCAAACTGGCTGCCTTCAACGTTCGCACAGTTATGCAGGTCGGACAACAGACAGGACTGGCTATGTCTTTGGAAAGTCTTAATATTGACGTGTGTTGTCTATCAGAGACCCGTATTCAAGACTCTGGTGAAGTACTACAAGTTCTCTCTCCATCTGTCGCTTCAAAAAGCTTGTTTTATGTGCATTTATCCGAGGACCCTGTGGCATCTTCGTCTGGTCTTGCTGGCGTTGGTGTCGCACTAAGCGCTAGAGCTGAGGCAGCACTAATCGACTAGATCCCCATTAACAGTCGGTTATGTGCTGTTAGATTAGAAAGTTCCATCAAAGTGAGAACAAATCGGCGTGAGAAACGATGTCTTTTCGTCATCTTCGCCTATGCCCCGACAGACTGCAGCCCGGATGCAATCAAGGACGAGTTCTACCACCAGTTAACTGTTCTTCTCCAGAAAGTGCGTTCGACAGATATTGTAGTACTAGCCGGAGACTTGAATGCTCACGTCGGGCGTCTAGGCACAGAAGAGAGTCATTTAGGTGACCGATGGGGACTCGTTGGTTGCAGGACAGATAACGGAGAACGTCTACTGCAAATATGCACAGACCACAACCTGTTTCTGGCTAGCACTAACTTTCGGCACAGTCATCGCCGATGTGCCACCTGGCGTCCGCCTTCTGCATCTCAAGCCTGGACTCAAATTGATCACATCTCGATCAGCTACCACTGGCGTGGTTGTGTACGAGACTGCCGCTCCTTTTGGAGTACCTATCTGGAATCTGATCATGCTCTGGTCTGCGCCAATCTTACCTTACTTTTCAGTGGACAACGAAGTGACGGCCACCAAAGGAATGATGTTAGCAAGCTGGCTGCAACTTCTGTTGCTAGTATGTACCGAACCGAGCTAGCTTCTAGGCTAGCTACCATTCCACCGAAAAGTATAGATGAGCATTGGTTGCAATTATATGACGCCATGAAAATGGCGGTTACAGTCTGTTGTGGGTTTGCGAAACGTCCCGCTTACAAGCACTGGGTTTCTTCTGGTTCCCTACAACTCACTGAAGCCCGTCGGTCTACTCCGGGTGACTATGAGTTTGACCACAGACGAAGGATGTTACGTAATGAAATCGGGCAAAGCTTGCGTAAGGACCGAGAAGCCTGGTGGTCGGAGCGTGCTAATGAGCTGGAAGCAGCAGCTGCATCTGGTAATTACCGGAAGCTCTTCCAACTCATCCGAGCCACTGGCAGCAAGAAGTCTGGTGTGAGCGAAACAATCTGCGAGGATGACGGAACGCCAATCACTAACATCCATCGACGTCTTGGACGATGGGCAGAATTCTTTGAAGGGTGGTTCAACTGGCCTGCTGCTCCGGCAACATCGGTCAGACTGTCCTGCCCTCCATGGCCGGTGACGACTGATCCACCAAATGAGGCGGAAGTCCGCAAGGAACTCCAACTCTTGAAACGTTACAAATCACCGGTCCCAGACAACTTACCTCCGGTTCTTTTTAAACATGGTGGTGACTTTCTGACTAAGGGACTGACGACGTTGCTTAGAAAGATCTGGGAACTAGAGAGTGTACCAACGTCATGGAATGAGTCGATAGTTGTCCCTATCTTTAAAAAGGGTTCACGTTGTTCCTGTAACAACTATCGGGGGATAAGTCTACTTCCGAGTGCGTCGAAGCTATTGGCTTCCGTCATACTTCGTAGGTTGTTCAGAACCCGAGAAGGATTGACTCGCGAGGAGCAGGCTGGGTTTCGTTCTGGTCGAGGATGTATTGATCATATCTTCACCCTCCGCCAAGTGTTAGAACACCGCCATACTTATCAAAGGCCAACAATCGTAGTGTTTCTTGATATCAGGGCTGCCTTCGATTCGTTGGACAGAACTGTTCTCTGGAATTGTCTATTGAAGAAGGGTGTGCCTGAGAAGTTTATTAACATCCTAAAAGCCCTATACACAAACACCTCAGGCAGAGTGAGGGCGTACAACCACCTTTCTTCACTATTCCATTCGAGCAGTGGGGTTAGGCAGGGTTGCCCAATCTCACCATTCCTCTTCAACTTTGCCATCGATGACATTCTGGAAACAGCTCTGACGGATGTAAGTAATGGTGGTGTAGATCTGTTGCCTGGAGAGAGACTTCTCGACCTTGAATATGCGGATGATATTGTCTTACTGTGCGAGAATGTTCAAGCCATGCAATCCGCACTTAATCAGTTGGCAATCAGTGTCCGTAGGTATGGTATGTGCTTTGCACCCTCGAAGTGCAAAGTACTTCTACAAGACTGGCAGGATTCTAATCCTTTACTCACTCTGGATGGTGAGCAGATAGAAGTAGTCGAGAAGTTCGTGTATCTAGGTAGCTGCATAAGTGCTGGTGGTGGTGTGAGTGATGAGATCAATGCACGTATAATGAAAGCCAGAACGGCTTATGCCAATCTGGGCCATCTTTGGTGCCTTCGTGATGTTAGTCTGGCTATAAAAGGTCGGATCTACAAGGCGTCAGTGAGAGCAGTCTTGCTTTATACTTGTGAAACCTGGCCTCTCCGAGTTGAGGATGCTAGACGACTCTCTGTGTTCGATCATCGTTGTCTCCGAAGGATTGCAGACATTCAGTGGCAACACCATGTTAGTAATGAAGAGGTTCGGCATCGTATGTTCGGGCACAGAGACGATAATTCCATTGGTGTCACCATCTTGAAACACCGACTTCGGAGGCCTGGACATGTTCTACGAATGTCATCCCAGAGAATTCCTCGTCGTGAATTATTTGCCGACTCTGGGACTGATTGGAAAAAGCGGAGAGGTGGTCAGTGTATGACATGGTGTCGTGGTACGAAAGAAAGCTGCTAAGGGCTGGCTTGTGTTGGTCCTTCACGACTTCCTGGCTGGAGTCAGAGAGATGGTGCAACACAGTGGCTAGAGACGTTATCAGAAATGGCTCAGAATAGAAGATAGTGGCGATCCTGCTGTAACCTTCTTTTACTTTCTTCATAAAAAGTGGTTGCTTCTTCCTTAACTGAAAGATTTCTTCCGATTGTACCTTTCCGTTTACCCCAATATTGTTCTCTCTTTTTTTTATAATTCCCCACGTTCATTACTTTTTTTTTCTCCTTCTCTTCAAATTACCATTGTTTTGTGTGGCGCATATATATTTGGCGCCCCCTTGTACCAATATTTATGTGTTCAAATAAATAAATAAATAAATACGCGTATATAGTCTCTGCCAGGGAAGTCCTACTCACTGCTTACACGTGGCGGGGGGTTGTTTACGAAAATGAGAGGACGTAAAGCGAATGTCCGGCGCTTTAACCGGATCCCAAACCAATCGTGCACATGGACTAGCTCCAGTATCCTGAGGGAACCAATGGCGTATGAACCAATCGTTGGTTACCGGCTATCATGGGACTGCATCTCCTCACGATGCTCCACTGCCTTGTGGGTTAGACCTTTAGGTCAAAGGCTCGAAGCATGGCCCCCTAAGAAAACCACCTGTTTCGGTCTGGGCACCCGGGCAGTATTATTATTATTATTTACTACATGATTTATTCACTCTCTTTTATTCCTACTCTGTCTATCCTTATTTTTCGACTTATACAGCAGCTCGCCTATGGTGGAAATTTGGGATCTGAAAAAGGCTGAACACAAACCTAATTGGCTACAAAAACAAATGAATTCCAATGATCGGATAAAAGCACAGGATAGATGAACATTTTCCTTCAGGGAGAAACATTTAGTTGAGATGGTTTATATGGTTGATATTAAATCACCTCTTGTATGGGTATTCAAAGGTGTTTACTAAATTTGTTGAGGTCTTATTTTGTCTTAACAAGTATTTGTATGATCAGATTGTGTATAGTGCTAACATAGTTCTTATAATCCGTGTCTTGCTATTGCATTATTCAAAATTATCAAAGCGACTAACTGTTTTAAATGTTATTGAACCAAAAGTAATTCTAAATTATATGTTCGTCTTTTTTAGATTTCTTGCAACATTCTTTACATCAGACTGTAATGACTCATATAAACTGGAATTAATATGACAGAATGATACAAAAAACTATTGTGTGACCTTATCTGACCTTTATATCTTTAATAGTAACATTAATAGTCATATAGTATACTTTACTATATGAGTAATCCTAACCTTTCACTTACGTACGTTCTTGTGTATGCATGTTTTTTTTTAAATTGCCGTTTGCCTATATTAATATTTTCGTACATCAGCTTGGTTATAGAGTTGGTGTAAAGCTAACCTCTAAGCTTTATGTTTATTTTTACCAAAATCATCCATCTGAGTTACAAATGTTTTTCATCTCAAAATTCATTTTTACCACATCTGTCTGCTTGTGTATGAATGTCTCAAATAAATTTTCCAAGCACATTTTTTATTTGACTTTTGTTACTACATTATTTCACAATAGCGTTAGACCAAGTGTAACATGCGAAACTAACTGGGTAATCATATATTATAAACATTGCAGTTCATGCAGCTAATAACATTCATCAACTTAAATATAATTAATAATCATCGTCAATAAGTCATTTTTATTTCCGGTCAAGTGGAAATCGAAATGCTGCTAGCTGAATATTTTCACCAGTTATTTAACGATCATTTTAATAACGAATTTCTAAACGTAATCTCACAAAACGTATACTTAATCAGACCTTAATTACATTAAGTACTTAGTGATTGATCATGACTTCGTCATTCATGTCTACTGTTTTCATTCATTATCGACTTTGTAGTTAGAAGGATGAGTTGTTGTGAATCAGCTTGGGTAAATTTAACTTCCTGTGGTTTATCATTAATGACATACTAATGATACTTCGTGTTTTTTTTACTTCTTCATACAAATTCAAAGTGAGGGTTGGGTCAGCACTAGGATAACTTTGAGTAAATGGTTCCTTTACATTAATTTTATTTGAATACAATGAGGATTTTCAGTTATTTCCGAAGGGATGAGCTTGAAGTTAAGAATAATACGAATTAAAGCAAACAATCTAAAATGAACAAACAACACCAATTCAAAACTCATCAATAGTCGACAACGTCTGTATGATAATGTCCATCGTCAGTGCGTGCTGTAAACTCGGAGAGTACCACTTTGTATGATTGCTGCAAAATAACCGTACATGCTTACCACTGTTATTAGCTTTTTGAAATCTTTCTGATTGACGTTTTTTTAGCCAAATTTTTCTCCCTGCTCAACCCTCTGCCTGTATCCGAGCTTGGGACCAGCAGTAAACTTAGAAGGCCTACATGTACTGGGAATTAGAGGCAGACATCAAAAGGAATGAATAGCACATGGAAACAACTAGAAAGGAGAGATCACGACAGTTGCTTGGAGAATCCTGGTCGACCTATCCCCCACTAGAGGTAACAGGGAGTAAGTAAGTAAGTTTTTTGTGATAACAATACAAGTTCGACTGCATGGGCACTTACCTACTTTACTAAAATTCCTTGTTTCTATCCTGAACTTATCTTGGGTTTATTACATCAACCTAATTCTGGAACAGGTCTAATAACCAACCAAAGTATTCACTATTCACTCAACAGAAATTTAACTGTCATGAATTTTTAAGCAGAAACTACAAATAACATCTAATCACTTCCCAGATGTTATAAACATTCACAAAGCTAATTCACTGAACATTATATGACAACTGTCGACAAGAATCTATTCTAAAAGTGAACTGTAAACGTTTACTTCGAACAATACTTTAATGAAGTTATATAACGGATTATCAATGATACTGAAACTGATACTGTCTATTATAATTATTTACTTATAGTTAATCAACTAATTTTTAGTGAACATAACGCTACTTGACCACCAAAATAGTAGTAAAAATATTTATTGAAACAATCAAGAAGTTATTCCTTGATAGATATGCGAAAAATAAAAGATTCTTACCCCCATATTTTTATACTCTGGTTTTCCATCAATAGTTTTCATATTTTGAATTCTGGTCTTAGCAATATCAATTGGTAAAGAGAAAACAGATGTAGTAAAACCACTTAATAAGCTAGCCATTATGTGTACATTCAAGCCATCAGTGAAATGACCTAGAGAAAAGTAGAATTCGAAAACATGGATAAATTTACTTGATGGGCATAACCTATTATATGATAAATGACATGATATGGACTTATTACATGAAAATGTAATCATGATGACGATGATGTGGAAGACTTGGATCAAGATTATGTGTTTGTTGATACTCAGTCTACCGAGAATATTTGAATTGTTTAGAGATCCTCATCATATTAAAAATTCGATTGTACTATTATTTCTCTCACCCTCTCTGACCCATATTTATTCGAATCATGGATCTTAGAATTTAACTTAACATACACGCCGATTCAAGTTAATATTCCATATGAGTCCTATTAACATTAACAATTTTATTCTATTTTGTTAGTCTTTTAATATTTGAGTTCACTAACTCATTGTCGTCCTCGCCACACCGAAACATATAGCTATTGTTTACATATACATAAGTGGAATTTATGACACAGGTGGTGGGAATACTATTATATGAGTTAACATCAATGTGAAATCAAAATCAGACACAACACTTTCTGGTAAAGTTTTTTCAGGAAATAAATCCTGAAAGTAAGGTACCGAGAATCATACTGAGATATAGCTTATTGATAAATTCAAATGATTTAATTCCGTCAGTTACTTTACTATTAAACTTCCGTTAATTTAAGACAGAGGACGCAGTGAGTACAGATAGGAAATACTTTTCTAAAATATAATAATTTCCGAAGCACAACTGATCAATAACAACGTTTCTGGTATCGAAGTGGAGTTTTTGACTTCAACTTTAAAAAGAATTTAGTGAATCATGTACTAACCCTGCAATATTCTTCGAACATAGATCAAGCCAAAAACGTAACTAATAACAGCGTTAAGTCGAATGAGTTCACTGAATGGCTTGATCAAGACTGTTTCATACAGTAGTTTATACATTAATTAGTGGATTATAAATTAATCATTTGTGTTTGTATTAGATTTCAACATCAAATATCATAATGGAATGAAAACTATATATTTTTTAAATGTTTATTGAAAAATTAGCTCTAACTTACCGACTTCAAGAAGTTTTTGTTTGGCTTGAGAATAAGTAGCTAATTGTGCACCATTAACTACAGCTGCTCGACCCATAGTTGGGACTGCACCCTACAAAGTAAAATTATACAGGGAAATACATATATGCTTCTTCCGAATCAAAAAACATTCAAGCGATGATTCATTGGATTATAGGATATGACCTGTTCAGTGGTTGGATTTAGGATGACTTACAGGATGTACACTACCGATTAACTAGTGAAACAATGAAGTGGTTATGAAAATATTGAGAGAAATCATTACTTTAACATTTGGCTTAAAATAATTTCTATTGCAATATAACACATACTTTTTTATTTAATTTTGTTTTTTGACTGTTGAGTATTAACATATACTAAGAGAAACTTTACACCTACCTTGCATCAGTTTAGAGTTGTAGAGATTGTTGGGTTTTATTGAAATCATGAACCGATCAAATTTGAAACACCACTGAAGACTTGGAAGCACTGTGCGGCCGTTTCCTCTTAGTATTGGAGTCATCATAAGTGCGCATTCACGACTCCATGGGTGGGAACCGAACCCAGGACCTTCAATCTTGCGAGCAAACGCTTATCCTATAGACCAATGAGGCAACATCCAACAGTGTTAATGTCTAACTCGTAGGTGCACTGCTGAGGAGTCCCATACTAGGATGGAACGGCCATTCAGTGCTTCCAGGTTTTCAATGGTGGTCTAACACAGATAGGCTCATGATTTCAGTGAAAAATCATTTACTTTCATAAAATAGGTTTGACCGATGTATATGAACTTAAAGATTGTAAAATAAAATGTACACTCTGATAATATTGAGGCTGAACAGGTTATAAATATTGGTGTTTTAGCTTGGTCATTTCTGAAATGTGAATTGGACAAACACTGATATCATTTTTATGTGTGATTTTTATTCATTATTAAGTAAAGCTAAACCAAAGACATTAGAAATCGTCAAAATGAACATTTCATTTAGAGTGTGAATTCCGTCTGATAAACAAATATACAATACAAACGAAAATTCAGAAGCGCTAGGTACCTAAGAAAATTACCGTACATTTTAGCCAATTTCAACGTTTATATGGATAAATTATCCACCACAAACTTTATGGAAGTGTAAATACGAACGAAATGTAGCAATTTTTATAGGATAGGTGAGATACATATAACAGTGGGATCTAGGATGAGCGTACCTGAATCACAGAATTGATGTTCACTTCAGGATGCCAAACCGGTACCCTTCGCTCCAAGTGCCTAATCCGTTATCCACTTATTTACTGAGTCCGGTTAGTTGCTAGCATGTGACAACCTAAAGCTTATCAAAATTCAGTCAAAAATATGAACAACAAGATAATCTAAACTATTGTGAACTAAATTAAGTGGGAATTCTTTTGATATTACTACTTCGTTTTGAAATAGAGATAAATCAAGATATTGATACTAATTTGTTAATCTACGCATTCAGAAAAAAACATAAGTTCGGTGGATAAGAATGAAAAGTGGGAAGGATGAAGGTAAGAGTAACATAAAATACGATTTGAAGAATGAAATTAAGAGAGACGACTGGCACTCATTGGCAAGACTCACCTGCAACCTTGAGAAAACTGATTCTTTCTTCGCGATTCTAAACCGCATCAAGCACCCTCACATGTTTAGATATTACCACTAAGTTGAATGATAAAGGTTTGAATCCCACAGGGGAACATTATCTCAAGATTACAGGTACATCTAAGGTATGCTTAATTGCTAGTATACTACCACACATACTGATGTAAACTTAAAAACTTGTACATCAGTAGTTAGCTCGGGAGATTTTCATCACATTAAACAAACCCCCATAAAAAGATCACATTTTGCTAGAAGAAACAAACATATATACACTAGATTTTATATTTTGATTATTTACAATGAAAGAAAAACGCGCACGCTTCCTACACTTCACATGATAGTGTCAGATGAGTGAAAATGAGATAACTAAGCATGACCTATTAAATTCCAGCTCATTGTTCAATCCATCTTTTTTATTTGTCTACATTGATCATCTACTTTCAAAAAAAAGAAGAATAACGGGTCACATTTAATTCGACTGTTAACTTTATTGATTTGTTTTATTGACATATATAGTTATTGGCAAACCCAATTGGAATTCATGAGGTCATTGTGTGGTGTGATAAGTTTAAAGCGTAAATCTAATTCAACATTATCATTCTCTCTGAATATAATATCATGTATCTACACAAGATTTCATGAAAGTCAGATACTATTTAATGGTTAAGCGTTCGCGCGCGAGACTGAAAGCTCTGGGTTCGAATCCCGTGAGCGGGATCGTGGATACGCACTGCTGAGGAGTCCCACAATAGGACGAAACGACCGTCCAGTGCTTCCAGGTCTCCAACGGTGGTCTAACATTATTCGGTTCATGATCTCAATCAAAATCTTAATAATCTCCTCAACCCTATACTGATTATTTAATGGCTTGTAGCGATTATTAACCGTAGTCTTTTTAATAATGCGTCGTTTGTTATCTATAGCATTTTACTTTTCTTGTGGTATCTGCAAATGTCTGGCATAAACCTTTTCATCAGAAATTATTAAAATTTTACGATACACAAATTGACTGTCGTCTTACTATAAGTTCGAAAATTTATGATATATGACAGAAATAAATATATTTGGCAAATCGTTTGAATATACCTAAGCTTCTGAATTCGCAGTAATGGTGAACAATAAGATCAACTAAACGATCGTTGTCGTCCATTATTAGGTGTAATTAGTTTACGAAGTACAAGTTTATGTGCCAGGTTTTGAGAGATTTATGTGAGTTACTTATATTAACCCGTTGTTCATACCAAAGTAGGTGAGGCAGGATTCGAACCTGTGATTTAATAGTTGGAAACTGAGTACCTTATCCATCAAACCACCGTTCATTAATGATTGAAAATCGGACGAAATAAATTATGTATGAGGATTATTTATTGTCAAAAATTGAAAATGTGGCGACTCAAAATACTGGTCATTTAATTAATACATATCAAAAGGTTCTAGAATTTCCATATAATATATATTTATCTTCGTTGACAATCTTACCGTATTACTATTAAATTTACCATATTTTTTTACCCAGCCATACGTAACATAGAATTTGGCATAAAAGTGAATCGGTTGTCATACCACTTTAGTACAGCCAGATAAAATTATTTCAAAAATCGCAAAGTAGTAGAACTAGCAACAGTATCATTAAGTAGTAGAAAAGATTGAGTATGGAAAAACAGAAAGGTAGTAGGACATTTTGAGACTCGGGTTCCGAGGGAAGACAAGGAGTAAATGCACACACACTAGTGTGAGCAATTCGGGAAACCGGGTAGAACCATTAACCCTAACATTTAGTGTGGCTCATATGCAAGTATATGGCGACGGAATTAGTTCTTATTTGCTTAATGATCATGTTTCATATCCATAAAGTAGAACATAGAGAACTGAGCAGCAAACTTGTCTTTTGGTTAGTATATGACTATCTCGTCTACGCCACAAGTGATGTGAGTTGGCAAAGGCCAATCGAGTTTTCTGAATCCGTGACGAGATTTTGTTAGACACCAGCGCATCAGGACTGGTGACACGGTGAGGCGGTCAATGTATTCAACCATTTCTATTTTCTAGGACAATGTCGAAGACCAAGGTATTTTAGTGATAGGATACAAAGGCTGTGTGGACTGTGTACACTAATTAACAATGATGTATGCATTAGATTCACACCTTTTACCTTTTTAAGACTTCAAGGTTCTGACGTCTGATTGTTAGTGATTGAAAGTTGGACAAGCTCTCAGTATAATTGATTAGTACAGTAGATTTTAAGAAAAAAACTCTCTAGCCTCATTTATCTAGAATTATTCGGACACGCAGGTCTCAATGTTTAGTGTTAGAAGGCTTGATTTTTTAGAATAGTCTTAATAAGTTAAATGGTGAAATTTAAGCAAACCTAGATGAATCGAATACGTAAAATATTTCCATAATCATTCGATTATATACAAATACCTTACAATTTACATACATATATTACTACAAGTACTTACCCGCCACAATGTCAACACTCCTTCTTCGCGAGCGATTCTTGTTAGAGCATTGAACACATTGGAATAATTTAGACGTTCTGCTGGTGGTAATCTTATGAATTAAAATATAAACAAAAAACGTAATTACTTATAAAATTATATAGATTAATTCGGGGATAGAAAATTGGATTGTTTTTAGTAAACTGTAAATGTAACAGATAGTTTACCAATGTAAATAAGATGAACTTAATAGTGTTCTGGTGAGTGTTCATGGGGAGAGATAAGATTGATAGTTTGCCTGAGTGCCAAGCTTTTAAAAATTCTCCGATATCCTTTGTATTCCCTCTGTCCAACATATCAAAATTTTTCCAACTGAACATTTATATACAATTGTCTGAGTGAATTGATATACGTGAATAGAAATCGTGGTGTTTGACGACTAGTTAGTGGGCAACAAGAGACCTCTTTTCTTTCTCGTCTGCATTGAACAAAATGTGACTGTTTGTAAAGGTCGTTCAAACTACGTGGTCAGTTAGATATTCATTTCTATTGAGTGCAGTAGGATTTAGTAAAATGTCAAAAACTTCAGCCATTCGCTTATCCTGATAGCTTGAAAAGCCTTTTTGAATTATTCTTGCATCTTTAATATCGACTTGATAGTTGTAGAAAATAGTATGTACTGTTACTGATGATTTAAATTGTCGATTCTTGAGTTCCACATGATTATCAGGTTGTTGTATAGCTTAGATGTTTTTCGGCACGAATCAAGATTTCACGTGAAGACCATCCAATATAGATACAATCAGATTTGTAAACATAATTCTGTGTAGCAGTAAACGGAATTCTACCTTTATTTCGGACTAAAACATTTAGATTTGTATTAGTTGTCTTTTACAATGCATCAGTTTTATGTTGCCTTAAGATTCATTGCAGTTTGTTTTTTGCATCAAACAATGAATCTTTTTTTAATATTTATAGGAGAATTATTGAATCTTAATTTTATTAACTTAATTGAAATTACAAAGTTAAACCCTGGTAATGATACCTATAAAACCTATGTATTTTTAAATTACATTACATTACAAAAGCAAGTTAACAAGTAACACACACACTATATATATATATATATATATATATATATATATATATATATATATAGGTTTATATTATTACCTGCCATCAGATGTCATACGGATAAGACAAATTTCAGCTGGTGTACCAATAAATGCACCGCATATCCCAGCAGTTACAGCTATACTTATTTTAGTGAAGAAATTGGGAGATTCTTTTTTACGCTTTGTATATTGTTCAAATAAATTTGTGTAAATGCCTAAACGAGCAGTTGAGTAGGTGGCTTGACGAAGTAATCCAGCTGATAAACTAAAAGAACAGTTAAATAGTTTTTCTTCATTTAATCAATATTTTTTTATAAATTATTTAGCTAGAAAATCTTGATAGTGTTTAAGCGGCAAATAACATTGAAGTATAGCCGACACTAACCATAGGATTATGTGATTTTATGATTAGCATAGAAAAGTACCTAGACTATGGTAAGCATCTATCTAAGGCAGCTAAATTTGGCACGATAATTTTATGAAAGACGTGAACTTTAAATGTAATCCATGTTTGAAGTGAATGCAAAACTAAGAAAACCTAAGTTTGAGTACTAACTCATTTGCTCACAACCACGTTTTAGGGGCTATAATAGTTGGCTCAAAAATCAACATACCGTAGTTTCAATGTTTAGGTGGGTAATTATTTCTTCTCTATGGACAGATGGTGGTTGAATTATCTTTTCTGGTGCTATATAGCTAAACCACCAGATAATGCATAGGAATACATACATAGAGATGTTTGTACAGGTTAGTTTAGGTTGATTTTCGTCACAGATGAATACTACTTGAAGAACCATCAAAAACTAAGGATTACTGAATTTCTGTTTTATTCTAGAACCTGACACCAATGGTCCACACATTAAACTTCAATTAATACATAATACAGTGTGATACTATATATCAGAGGAGAATAAGGGACCATACATATCCGCATTTCAGTATTTTAGTAAAAATCCATACTGTATTATTAGTATTAACTTGGGGAAATTACTTATTTACCAGTTAGCCTCGTTCCAGACTTCAGTATCAGTTTTGCGAATATGATTTTAATAAAACGGTCACAGAAACAGCTAAATACTAGTGAATTCAGTCAAGCACTTAACAATAATCACCTGACAGATTATTTATAGATCAGTCTAATTCAACTTCATGCTTCAGAACCGCATAATTGATAACGTGAAATTTAGTTAGGTACTGATGAAATAAAAATCAATCAATCCTGGAAATAAACTAACCCTGAGTATATCGCAAAAAATCCTTCATTTTTAATGACTGACATAAGTACTTGAAGACTGTTACGTTGACCAGAAGTAGCACTTCCGATACCTGTCAATTTAACAACAGAATTAAATTGAAAAATGTGTAAATAAATAAATAAATCCTTGACAATGATAAAGTGCACCGAATCACAACAATCGACTTACAGCCATTCAAACGATTATATATGATAAATTAAATGGATGTAATATACATACAGAATGAGTTTACGGAAAGTTATTTAATTGTGATTATTTCTTGCTTAAGATATTTTCTAACATCCAGTCACAGTATCATGTTAAACAGATTTTAAGGAAATATTTTTTTAATACGGATACTTTTTAACCTGAAGAAAGACTCTTGATGATGAGTAAACAGATAGTATCGTTTTACTGTAAAATAGCGTGCAGGATACTGAAAATGCATTTGACCATTTGTTGGACAGTACGGTATTTAATTTGAATTACAACCTTATGAGATACTCTCATTATACTAGTAAAAGTCTGTGTCTGAACACTCACTTCGTGGTGATTTGTTGGAAACAATCGATTAGTTTGTGCATCCGAGTAGCTGTGACAGGTGATGATGCGGATTGTATGGATCTAAAAACATACCTAGTTCCATAGAAACCCTCAGTTTCAAGTGGATACTTGAGGGCTGTTTCGTTGTATCCTGAAGTTCCTAAGAAGTAAGGATTCGTGAATAAGGCAAGGAGCCCCCGGGTTTTTAGTATTGCAGCAAATCAGAGGAAAACATCAATAAAAGACGGATGTCACTTGTCGTTTAAATACCTGCTTCGGTTTGGGCACCCGGGCAGTATCACAGCCCTCACACATATCAAATGAGATCTGTGTGGCGCATATGTATTTGGTGCCTTCTTGTACCGATATTTATGTGTTAAAATAAATAATAAAATAAAATGTCGTTTAAATAATAAATGTTGCTTTAAAATGTAAATATCTAATCATTTGGTAAAAAAAAACAAATAAACTTAACTAATTAAGTATAGAAATGTCACAGATAACTGAATGAGTGGGATTTAATAATCGATAGTCAATAAGTCGATCATATTTCTAGATAGAATTATGAAGCTACAATATTCTTCCTATTCTCATAAAACTGGATTATACCTGGAATCGAAGCTAAAAGACTTATTAATGGATATAAAAGTATGGTGGATGTTAATTAGTGGTATAGTCTGTATTCGATATTAGAAGTACTATAAGATAAATGATAACGTGATGAACCAAACTTGTTCATGATCTTAAAGTGATTCAATGATCGAATTTATTATTTCTTTCAGTGAATATACATTTGAGCGCCGAGTTAATGTGAGACATTAATGAGGAAGAATGTATTTATAAAATCTCAGCGAAAGAATTTGAAATAAATCTAACGTTTCGCCTGACAATCTGGTCCAAGCTTTTTCAAAGAAATATGATCAAACATCAAAATTATCGAATATAAATAGGTACATGGTTCTTCGGTTTACTGTATACTGAATAAGTCATCCAATCAATGTGAACGATGTTTAAAACTAGCTATTTACATTAGTGTGTAAGAGATATGTGGTGTGAAACGAAAAGTGTTAAGATAACAGATTGTATGCATACGTAAGTGAGAAGAAATTTCACTCAATATATATTGTCTTCCGTCGGTGAATATTACGAAAACATATAATTTTTATACATGATATGAATCCAAAATGTCACAGCATGCATAAAATGAAGATAAATAAACAAGGTAAAAGAATGAATTCAAAGAGGAAGAATGTATTTTTAATTGAAAGTTTGTGTTATTTTGATGTTTCAGTCAATTGCTTAACATATTCAGATAATTTCAATTGTTGAGATCATGAGTCAATTGAAGCTAGACCACCATGGAAAACCTGGAAGCAGTAGACGGCCGTTCCGTTCTATTGTGGGACTCCTCAGCAGTGTGCATCCACGACCCCGCCTCGTGAGATGACTTATTCAGTATACAGTAAACCGAAGAACCATGTACCTATTTATATTCGATAATTTTGATGTTTGATCATATTTCTTTGAAAAAGCTTGGACCAGATTGTCAGGCGAAACGTTGGATTTATTTCAAATTCTTTCGCTGAGATTTTATAAATACATTCTTCCTCATTAATGTCTCACATTGACTCGGCGCCCAAATACTGTGAAATTATTCGATCAAATTTAGACGAAAGTTCCTATTTATATAAAATAAGTGTATTTGGAAACCCAAAAAGCTATCTTACCGCTCATTTGCATCCTGTTTTTCACGAGGTCCAAAGGTTGAACGCAAACAGAGGCACACATTCTGCAAATTCAAGTAGTGGAAACTGACACTTAGATTGGTACTGACGATATTCATTTTAATGATAAATAACCAAAATCTATGGTACAAGATCAAGGTTGGTAGAGTAAGTCATTGTCAGCAAAGAACAAGAGTGGGTGATGGTCATATAGCGCAACAACAAGTCGAGGTTGAAATTATATTATATTTACGAGGTACATATTTGAAATTAATAAAAGAACTGAAAACGAAAATAATAACAGGATGAACTATTGCAACCCAGATATAGATGTGACTAACAAGTCGGAATCAATGCATTTTGTTTATTACAGTTTACCACCTAGATGGATCTTACATCCATCAGAGCTGTTTCCAGAATGTCATCGATGGCAAAGTTGAAGAGGAATGGTGAGATTGGGCAACCCTGTTGGCCTTTGACAAGTATGACGGTGTTCTAACATTTGGCGGAGGATGAAGATATGATCAATACATCCTCGACCGAAACGAAAACCAGCCTGCTCCTCGCTAGTCAATCTTTCTAGGGTTTTGAACAACCTACGAAGTATGACGCAAGCCAACAGCTTGGAGGCGATCGGTATGAAAGAAAGCTGCAAAGGGCTGGCTTGTGTTGGTCCTTCACGACTTCCTGGCTGGAGTCAGAGAGATGGTGCAACACAGTGGCTAGAGACGTTATCAGATATGGCTCAGGATAGAAGACAGTGGCGATCCTGCTGTAACCTTTTACTTTCTTCATAAAAAGTGATTGCTTCTTCCTTAACTGAAAGATTTCTTCCGATTGTACCTTTCCATTTCCCCTATTATTATTATTATTATCATTACACTACCTTACACTAATCTGTCCGTTATTGTTCTTTTCTACGCTCCTTACCCTCTTTTTTTTCTTGTCTTCAAATTCTCATTGTTTTGTGTGGTGCATACATATTTGGTGCCCTCTTGTACCAATATTTATGTGTTCAAATAAACAAATAATAACTCATCCCAGTACAAGTTATAAATGAATGTTGAGTTTTAAAATATATTCTCATAAAGCCACTGAGACTAAGTTCATTCGTGTTCAAATACCATATTTTGAGTGTGTTAGATACTTAAGAATTAACGATATTACTTGATTGTCAGACAGGAAATTGCAAAACCCATTTGAACCTATGACCTTATAATCAACGAACCAGTACGAAAACTAATGATCATGAACATGAATCCAACATTTGTAAATCAAAACACAAAAATAACAAGACTACACATTTCAACTATTGTTTATAACTGGAGAACTATAAACATTCCTGAGCTAAAGCCAGTAATATATATTGAGTGAGGAAGGAATGAAACAATTATTACACCACAGTGAATGTAAATGGTTGTAAAATAGATTATAATGATCGATGACAATGTTTAACTTGGAAAATCATCATTTCTAATCGACTAAAATATCACTAATAATTTAAAATTTTGATCAAAACAAAGATGAGATATTCGTACTCTTAAAACACACTTGTGTAGTGTTTGTATGAACTAAAGATTCCTTTGTACTTGTTGAATGCTTGATTTCAAATTCCAAATACGGTACATTCGTTCGTGAGTATATGGTACTTCTTGATCCAATTGCGTTATTTCTGGGATTCTTAGTTTGTACTATAATTCAAATACTCCTAATTATCACAAATTAACACAAATGACCGCAACAAAAAATTGAAACCATTGCAGGCCATAACAATCCAACAGAATTATGGAAATAAAATGTATATAGGAAGTAACTTATAAGTTTGTATATTATCAAATGGTAGAGTAGCATAAAGGTATTCACATTTAACATACCCAGAGGTTCCACCCAATACAAACTTCATAGTAGGAGGTATTTCGGCCTTCTTTTTTTCGGTCTGCATTGTTGAAAAATATGACTAGGTACTTTCTTTAAATGAATATATGGATATGGAATCAGTACACTTCACCGTGAACAGCTGATACTAAAAAGAAAATCACAGACGATTGAGAGAGAAAACATTGAATACAAAAGTAAAAACTTGAATAATTATCTTGCACCAGCTGGTGCAATTCGGTATCAAATATATCATGTACCACACGATTTAAGAGATAAGATTGTGAAGAAACAGAAAAAGAGTGAGGTCAGAATAAAACAAGAATAACATATAATATAAAAATCGAACCAGATTAAAAATATAACCAACGACTTTTTTCTATTAGAGTAGTTCCTCTGAAGCTTATGAGCAATGTAAGCGAAAAATAAAACAGGAGCACTATCGGCTCTCGACCCGAGATATGTATGATAACACCTAAAGCCTCTGAGTTGCATGATCTCTAGGATCCTAACCAAGAAGTCGTGATAGATCAACAGATGAGGGGTTTTATACAGATTTTATACATCCAAACCAGTGATAGCAGAGTTTAGGGGTGGTGGCACTAAGTAAACAATCGTCTCTTTACTGAACATCATAACTAGCATTGACTTGGGAGGGAACTAAGCAAAACAACGGAATATTTTTCTCAGAATTAATCATCCACTTCACAAACATATGTAAGGTTACAAAAGTATGATTTATGGATCACGGACCTCACTATCCACAAAAAGGAAGCTCTACCTGATGAAGACTATTTACATATTACCGCCGATCACAATGGATCTGTTGTAGAGATAGTGTAAGCTAACGATTATCATGGAGATAAGTTTTAGGAGCTTAGGAGAAACAAAAAAGCTGAAATAAACTAGAACTGGCCAATAATATGCAAATTTTCTGCACCAAAAACCAGTTATATACTCCTGAGACTGTTTATGACACAGGATGGTATGTAATCGGGGTTACTCTACTTAAATAAATCAGATGAAGTGATACGTTAGATATTATTTAACAGTTCAATATAAGAAAACTCAGTCATTAACTAGGTACTGATTTTTGAGTAGATCAATCCTAAATAGGTTTAATCAAGGGCAAGAAATTATCATGTCATCATTTTTCGCATTGCATGCAACAAACCCTTCGCCTGGCAATCTGATAGCTGCTAGGACTAAATGATGGTTATAAACCGGTGTGAGGAATTAGAATTGTAATTTGCAGTTGACAGTTACGGTTAGAAAGTAGACTAAGGGTTTTAACCACGAGCTGGCAGCTAAAACGTATGAGCGAATTCAGCGCCAAAATTCAAGGCATATTATCTTATGTCTGATTGGTTCAAATGGTTTGAATGGTTGTGGACAGAATAGAAGAAGCTTTCGCTTAACGTTAAGCGAAAGCTTCTTCTATTCTGCCTGTACAGGCTTCCGTGTCTAGTAGCAGGGGATCACTAATACATCCAGGCAAGAACCTAGGTATATTAACAACAAAAGAAAAAAAATGAATTGGTAAATCATAGTAAGATACTATCCTTAGTCTTTAAGAATAGATCAAGTCGCCTCCTAAAGGACTCCTGGGAAGTTGCTTGGACTAGCTCAGCTGGCAGCGACTTCCCGCACTTGACAACTCTTAAGGAGTAGAAGTTGTGCCTGTAGTCCGTTCTACTATGTTGTATCTCTAATTTCTGTGTTACCCCTTAGGTTAGTGTTGGGACTAAGCTTAAATAGGTGTTTAAGAGGATGTCCAGGTGTGTTAAGAATACTGTAAGCCATTAGAAGGTCACCTCTAAGATGCCTATACTCTAATGGGTAAAGGTCAAGTGATTTGAGGCGCTCTTCATAAGGTTTAAATTTGAGTCCCCGAACTGATTTCGTGGCTCGCCGTTGGATACGCTCCAGAGTCTCCTTATCCTTTTGGAGTGTAGGAGGGAATACTATGTTTCCGTACTCTAAATGGGGACGAATAAAACTGTTCAAGATTATGTGGAAAGTTTTTTCGTCAAACTGGCCAAAAATGCGCTTCAATGTTACCAGTGCAAGGTTTGCTCGAAAGGCATTTTTGTCACAGTTTGCGTAAGACTTTAAATCGTAGGGCACCAGGACTCCTAAATCTTTTTCGACTAGGGATACTACTAGAGAGGAGTTTCCTCAGTTGTAACTGTAGTCTGCGACGTGTCGCAGATGGACTACTTTACGCTTTGGAGTGTTAAAGGTAAGTCCGTTGTCGTCTGCCCAACTTTAAAGTCGAGTCAGATCCTCCTGAAGTGCCTGTATATTGAAGCTGCTTCCCTCAGTATAGCAGAGTGGACCATATCTGGACCAGGAGAAGTGTCTGTTTTCAGGAGCTGCAGTTTACGGAGCATCACGTCAGCGTTCAGGTTCACTACGCAAAGTCCTGTGCAGTTGCAGATGAAGCCTTCATCAGTATAGTTGATGTGGGTCGTTGAAATGTCCAGGAGTATTGCTCAGCCAGAAGGTTAGCGGCGTCACCGTCGTTATCGGTCGGGCCGTTAGGACCTAGAAGTTGAGAAACTCCAGTTTTGGCTTGACGAAGGGAGTCTGCGTAAAGGAATAAGCTTTCCGGATTGGGAATAAATTTATCCATAAGCTTAAACTGGTGCTGAAGCCCGTCTTCTTTTATAGCCTTCGTGCATATGTTCTTTATATGTTTGAATTGCCTGTACTCGCTGTTGTTGTCGGTTCGTTTGTATTCTGCCCAACAGTGCCTTTTACGTCTTAACAAACGAAGAGTGCGGTTTTTGATGACTGTAGGTTGCATGTGGCTTGTGGGGACCGTTTGAGGAACTGACTGTTTCGTAGCACATAAGAGCGTGTGCAGTAGGAAGTTCCGATGAGCATTCACATCAAGTTGAGGGTGAACATTCCAATCCACCTGTTGTAGATAGTCCTGTAGAGCTGACACATTCAACTGTTTGAAATTCCAGCGCCTGTTGTTGTTGGGACATCTTAGCTCAGTCTCGCTGACAATACTGAAGGCTATAACTGCATGATCGCTTTTCCCCAGATGAGCCAGAATTGAGAGGTTGTCAACTGGAAATTCTTCATTTGTAAAAACACAGTCCAAGCGCGACAGTGTCTGACTGTTCCTCCAACGAGTAGCCAACTTCACATTTTCGTGTAATCCCGAATCCTCAATGAGGTTAAAGAACCGAGCTTTGATTGAATTTTCACTTACGATATACGTATGTTCCACGAAGTTGACTCTCGGGAGATTGAAGTCCCCTAGAATCAGGATATGAGTGAAACCGAGACGCGTAGAGCGTGATAGTCCTTCCAGCATGCGACTGTCATACTCGATGTCGGCAGTGGGCTTCCTATATATGACTCCGACTAGGCACCTTGAAGTAGTGGACAATCTCACAGAGCACCATATAGATTCCTCAAGATTGTCAAACTCATGGTCGTGAACTTGGTGTACCTCCAAGCCAGATCGTATGTATAGGGCTACTCCACCCCCCAATTCCTGTTTTTCTGTCATTACGAAACAGAGACATCCCAGGTATTGCTTGCTCCTGGTCCGAAAACTGAGAAGTTATCCAAGTTTCAGATATTCCTATCAGATGAACCTTCGTCTGTAACTCGTGTATTTAGCAGTCACTGGAGCGAGCGGGAAGATCTTAAACCAAAAACACACAATGTTAACTGAGCACTTCACAACACAGAGAGAACATGGAATGGGACTACCAGTCGTTTATTTTAAATATTGAATTATGCGGTTCGAGTACAAAAGGGAAGTTTATTACAAAATGGGTTTACTCATTGTCCTGCAGGTCTAGCTTGCGCAAAGCTTGTTCCACTTCTGCTAGTACGTTTACTTTCTGTTGTCCTGCAATGGAGAAAACAAACTCGCATTAGCAAAGCCACATGTAATGATTTTTAATACCGTTACACGTCCTAAAATTAGTCTCACGGCCTCAATCAAGTTACGAGATGATGACATCGAATGATGCATGATATAGAACGAATATCCAGTATTATTATGCTGTCGCGACGACTTACTAGTTTGGACAATCTTAGAACTTGAAAAAAGTACATATGATGATAGAACTTCCGTTACTGATAATTGCATCTTTTAAATCACCACAGCAACCTTGGCAAAGTAGGTGACGTCAGCCATCCATGCATGCTTCATTTCAAAAGGATTTACCCTTCGTGTCAAAATATTGCCAATTCAAATCTGGATCTTGGGTTCGTGAAGTAAATGATGCACAACCATCCTTGCACAGGAAGATATATCTCTGTAGATTCTTCGAAACGACAGTCGTCAAGAAAATGATTGCATTTAAGACAATTTTTTGAGTAATACGCGTAGCATTCAACATCTGATTTCTTAGAAGCTCATCAAGCAGATCATCACTTATGTTGTTGTCAAAATGCGGTCACAGTTGTATCCAGGTTGTTCATACATGTTCTGATTACCTGGGTCTAGACATTAAACATATCAGCGAGATTTCACAGAGCGTCCAGTCAAACACAGAAATAGAAGTATTCGAAGAAAATAGAAACATGACTATGATTTGCATCAGTCACAGAGAGTAAATAGCTATCAACCACACGCTTCCAGAGGTGGTATGTATTGACTCGACTCACCAGACCAAAAACGTTGAATGAGCGATGAATAGTAACGACTTTGTCTTGAAGCTCAACACTGTCCCAGCTAGTCGGTACTGAGCGAGATCACACCGTTATCTATACTCTTTTCAGGAATGGACGACGCGAATACGTCCTAAACTTACGTGAATACTTCAGGCATGATGCGTTATAGTTATGATACACAAACTTTCGTTACGGACTCGGCTGCGACTGGAATTTCTGCAGCATAGTCTACCCGCAGTCATGCCGACATAACATGCATTTTTCAGGAATGCTAGTGTTAACCATGCAAATTATTTTATATAGTTCACAACTGTTGATGTTCGCAAATGCTTGGAATATCTTGTAAAAACCAGATGATCTGACATTTAAGCCTTGCTCCTCATAATGTATTATACTATGATTTACTCAAAAGTACGAGTGCCTGAGAACCAATTTGCCATGACCCCATGATTAGATAGATCACTGGGTTGTCCGGAAGTCAATGTAGGCTTGCCGCTATCAGAGACACTTATTACGCTTCGGCAATCACTCAAACAGCCTCTTGAAACGTGCTCATAAACACTTTGAAGAATATCTCGTCTGTTAACATTCTGTAAAGTCTGAAATAAGACAGATACGGACCTGATGTGAGAAACTTAGTCGAAAGTATCATCGAGTTAATGTCCCCAGATCACTCCAAACTTTGTTAAAAGAGCTGACGGCTTTCTCAGGCTAACTTGTAGCTGTATATTATAAACCAGTTAGGAGGATGAGACACAAGTTAATAACACAACAATACACAACGAAGGCATCACGAATGTTTTTGGTACTTTGCATTCACGACGTGCTTGTGAAAGTTTTAATTACTATGTGTGGCCTTGTGGTTACATTTTATATGCATATGCCAAAGATCTAATTTGTGAAGGTATGCGTTTCTTGATCATTATAATCATCACTGATACATTTCAACATTGCACTACTTGGAAATGAAACAATGGTTACTTTTCATTATTATTAAGCTAATTTTGCCGAGCGTTTGTTTCCTTATAAACGAAGAATTTTGGGTAATTGACTTCAATTGGCTTTATTATTGGGAAAAGCATTGACTCACGATTTTCAACAAAGATCAAAGTCTTCATCTATTTTTCGCTCTTAGTGGTTTGCTGTTCGCAAAATAACAGCTCTCTCTCTTCATCCTCACATCTGCTGGTATGTTCATGTAATGAGTTTGAAATAGTCCTTTTTCCCTTAAAAATTGGTAAGACTCAGACATTTATTACATATACCTATAATTATTAACACAAAGTATATATACCAACTGTTTGAATCTGATACATTTGTTCATCAAACAAGTGAGTGATCGTAAGTTATTCAAGAGATACTCATGTTACCGAAAAAAATGCTCGAATGCATGTAAAATTATTACATTAAACTGGTAACTATTTACAACAGTATGAATTTAAACTTGTTATTGAGTGAGCGGCCGCTAGATATCCAGTCACGTTTTGAGCGAATATTGCACTTGTTTAAGCTTAATTAATAAAGGCAATAAACCACACGAGACTACCAGGAGTCTGCTGAAAAAATGAATAAAAGGTTAGTTAAAAAAACACAATGAACATATACATGAAAATGGACAACTGTATGTAAGTGTTCACATTCCTAGTTTCTTTGACTGATCTTTGCTTTGTGATTCCTTGTATTATAGAGAAGGCGGT